TCTTTGTTATACATCTTCACCTCCTTCTCCGCATTCTTATACGCTTCCGTCAGAATCGCATCGTATTTATCATTCAGTTCTTCGACAAAACTTTCTGAAACACTGTTTTCATCGACAAGTTTGCGCGCGTATTGATCCAAACACGTCACCTGTTTTCGGATCTTTGTGTACATCAATGGTTGGGTAAACATTGGTTCGTCGATTTCGTTGTGACCATTACGGCGATAACACACCAAATCAATGATACAGTCTTTGCCGAACTTTGCTCTCCATTCGGCGGCAACAGTGCAGACATAGACCACAGCCTCGGGATCGTCAGCATTCACGTGAAAGATGGGAGCGTTTACGACACGCGCCACGTCTGTGCAATAGGGAGAGGAACGGGCGACTCGAGGATCAGTCGTAAAACCAATTTGATTATTGACCACAATATGAATCGTGCCGTGCGTTGAATAGTCGGGTAAATCACTCAAATGAAAGGTCTCGTAAACCACTCCCTGTCCAGCGAAGGCCGCGTCTCCGTGTAATAGAATAGACATTACTTTCTTTCCCTGAGTGTCTCCGCGATAGAACTGTTCTGCTTTAGTCTTCCCCTCGACTATAGGATCACACGCTTCCAGATGTGATGGATTGGCGACGACCGCCAGCTTTATGTTCTTATTAGTGACGCGATTAAGTCTCTCGTGAGACATCCCTAAGTGATACTTCACATCTCCTGAGCCCTAATATAATGTAAATTCAATTGTTAGCGTTTAAGTCTCATACTATAAGAGAACGAACCCAAACAAGTATTAATGGTTTACCTCATCCGCCGGCTCTAAACTACTGAATTGAGCGAAGATCTGTTCGAGTGGTTTACGACAGACATTGGCCAATACGTTAAGCCTTCCCCTGTGAGGCATTCCCATTACTATACTCTCAATACCCGCTTCACTCGAGTAGTCGATAATAGCTTTCATCGCTGGAATCAATACTTCACAGCCTTCGAGACCAAACCGCTTCTCTGACGACCACTTTTTGGCCAAAAACTCCTCGAATTTATGCGAACGAGTCATTCGGGCTAAAAGTGTCCGCTTTTGCTCAACTGATAATTGGGTTATTTTCGGGGTTTCAAACTTCTCCCGAATCCATTGGCATTGTTCTAAGTTATTGATAAACATATACTCAACGCCAATGTGTTGGCAATAGACGTCTTCCAAGCGTTTCAATATCTCCCTCAGCGGAAGTATAGACTCTCCGCCACCGATAAAAGTGGTCGACGGGAGCTTAAAGAGACGATCCATATCTTTCTCCTCTAATCAGTTGACGTAAGCATTAATTGAATTAATTGATTGTTAAATCAAATCGAAATGAAAGCGATAGACATTAGTGTAGAGGAAAGTGAGTGAAGTGTTACCCAAGTTATGAACCTTAAGCCAAGCGCCGTCTCTGTCAAAATTAGTGACATTTATGCTGAGAGGGTCTAAACTGGCGAAATAGTGGCCTCGAATCTAATGGTCAGTTAGAAATACAAGGTATGGACTGTTATAGACTGTGAACGCATTGCTTATAACGATTCAAAGTTTGAACATTTGTTTTAAATAAGTTGTTAAAGAATTAGTGGTAAAAAAGTAAATGAAAAAGAGTGCAAATGAAAAGCAAATAATAAGAAGCAGTGGATGTTTGGGAAGGAATACCTAATTTGTGAGTTCTAAGCACAACTTGCGGGGAAGAGGGCGTACCAGAGTGTAGCGGCGAATGGATGTTCGCCGACGTTATACTTAACGGATCCAACTTTGCTACTAAATGACCCCGAACCTATTTGCCCGGGTTTTGGTATCCATTCGTTAAATAAATTAATAAAAAAAATTAAAATAAATTATAATTAAATAATAATATTGAATGCGTTTAATACTCCAACAGTTGATTAAAACAATTGTAAATAATTAAAAAAATATTGTATTTCTAAGACCTGATAAGATCTGATGATAGCCTGAACAGACAAGTGGTCGTCGATATCTCGGTGCCCAACAGCGGACACATCTGATGTCTGCGCTAAAGCTGTCGTTGAGGTTATCTTATATAAAAATTAATTTATTAACATGTATTTTTAAATAAACTGATCTAAAATTTACATCTATTGCCGGTAGAGTATAGCCACTTGAGGTCAGACTCGGTGGGCTTTGGTAAGCGAGTCCGGGCTGTACTCCAGCCGAAGCGCTCTTGAAGAATGCATCCCAACTCTGAATTCAAATAGTAATTCATTATAAATGTTGTAATTATCTATTATTTCGATTAATTTTTAATAAAATGTTTCAAACATTAATAAAAGCTTTAAAATAAGCAAAAATTATTTTTGAAACCCATTACTGTATCAAATGAGATATCAATAAGAATATGTTTAAAGTGGTAATTTAAGTTTGATTACAACACATGTTAATGATATAGATATAAAACAAATACATTATATCAGATAATCTACTTTTATATAGAGTGCTAACAAGTACTAAATATCTGAAGTAAAGTCCAATTAACTCATTTTCAACTATTTTAATGATTATTTAATCGATAAACAATTATTTATGTTAAAAATCAATGTAAAAAGGGCCTATCCTATGACCCTCGGAAAACAATATACCCGTGCAGTACATGTATTCACAAATTCTTGACATAAAAATAGATATTTGGAAAAACAAATTTTGCCTCAATTATACTTCTGTTGTAAATTTTAATGTAAATTTAAATCTCTTTTTCTATCCATAATTACATTTATATAAAGCAAAATAGTTATCATTTAAAATTTAAATTATATATAAAAATATTTAGCGCTAAATTTTACTTATTTTAATTTTAATGAAATATAAATCCAACAAAACATATATATTTCATTGAATAATGTAGTATTACATTACAGTTACATAACATAAGTTATATAAGTTATAATGACGTCAACAATTAAATTGTTAGCAAAACCAACAAATTTCAAAGTCTAATCGATAAGACATTTACTGATAACACATTCAAATCCACACGACTTTCTGTCCAACAAATTAGAAAAGTTTTAATAAAAACAAATTTTCCATAAAATCTAATTTTAGACATAAAATCAATTTTGTCATTGATTTCAATCGCTAAACCTTTAAACTATTCATTTTTATAAACAATTTATGTCATTATAAACACAACTAATTATTGATTTTGAAATAATAATTAATTAATTCA